ATTTAAGCATTCAATGCTGCTTTATAAGCAAACAAAAAAAAAAAAAAAAATTAAAACGAACAAGTCAAGTATTTTTTATCAAAATCCATTTACTCAAAGTGAACAACTCCATTTCCGAGATAAATAGAGCAAAGCAAAAAACTTTTTAAATGTAAAAATATATAAGTATTCGTCAAATTGAAAAAATGAACAATTTATGAAATTAAAATTTTACTCGAATCGCTTCCACACATATTTTTATAGTGCTTTTCGAATTTTACCGTCAACGAATTAAAAATTAAACTAAAACTTAATTATAGAAAAGAGTTTGTAAATTAAACAACAATTAAAAGACTTTTTCAACTCTTAGCTTACATTTGCCTTCTAGACCTAAGAATGCGAATCCAAGATTTATGCAACATAAACCAAATTAACTAAAAGATAATATTAATCGAAATAATTGTACTAGATTAAGGACATTTAGTTTACTTTAAGCAATGCAACAATACATCAAAAAGCGAATCAGTGAACAATATTGTGATATTAGTTGACAACAAAATCAAATTACTTCCATGCTCTTCTATATCATTTGCCGAGCATGTCTGAACCTTCTGTTTGACGAGCTAGCTTGTTCTTTGAGGTGCGGCATTTTCAGGAGTGTTTTATGGTGCTATGTAAACTAATGCTTAGCTAGATTAAGTTAGTTTGCCGACCTGTAGTTGAGGTTTAAATCGACAATCCTTAGCAGCCATAAAAACGAGAATAATTAACACTAACTAGAAACCAGTCAAGTACTTATAGGAAAGGTAACTAACTCTCTTTGAAAATAGATCCATTATTTAAATGCATGCCGGTTTAAATTATGAATAACTACTGTAAAAATTAGTTTTCATTAACAACAATTAAACGAAACTAGTATACTTTTCAAGGACTCTCAGCCAGCAACTTCTTAAACAAATAATGAGAAGAGAGAAAATAATAAAAATAAAAATAAATAAAATAATGCAGCTGAAGTTTGTGGAATGCGAAAATAATGCAAATGCCTTTTGCCGCCGGTGTTTGCCTGAATGCAATCAGTGCAGATTATGTGGCGGCTGTGCAGGGGCAGGCACGATAGAGGGGGCCAGACGGGGGCGAAGGGTTGAAGAAATAATGCGCGTAATAACAAACTACAGGCGTAACTGAAATGGCAGGCTACTGCGCATTTGTCCAGCCGATGGGCGACGGCGATGGCGATGGCGATGGCGATGGCGAAGGCGTTGGCCAAGACGCACAACGGGAGGCGGAACTGCGGTAATTACAATTGCCGCCGGACATGGACAGCAGTAGCCAGAGCAGCAATGGAAATAGCAGTGGCAGCAGCAGTGGCAGCAGCAGTGGCAGTGGCAGTGGCACAGCTGCGTCCGTGTTGCATCAACGCAACAGATCTTGAAGCATCCTCGCTCGCCCAAGACAATTATATGCTGCCAAAGACGCATGCGCAGCTGAACCAGCAGCAGCAACAGCTTCCTGACTGCATTTTGTTTTTACGTTTTTATTTGAGCAAATTGCTGGCAACTTTGCGGACTGTGACTGACTGAATGATAGACTCACTGGCTGCTTGACTTTCCGACTTTCAGGTTGACTAAATGACTGACTGTCTGACAGTTGCTGCTGCTGCTGCTGCTGCTGCTTCTGCTGTTGCTGATGGTGGTGCAGTTTCGCTCCAATTGCAATTTGTTGCTGCCCTGTTGCCTGCAAGAAAAAATATGCCAAAATTGCTACGTGCGGGCGTTTTGCACAAGAATCTCGGACCGAAGAGCAGCCGGCAACGATAATGATGATTGCAGCTAAATTATGATGCCCCGATGCGAGTGCAGAGCTCAGCAGAGAAAGTGTAGCAAGCACACAAACACACACACGCACACATACATACACATGCAAACAGTTCACACAGAAGCTGACTGCAACATCATCAGGCCACGGCCATCGAAGGGACTTAGCGGCTTTATTTAGCATAACTCGCATCGCCATTGGGGCCGCAACAGCAGCAGCCGCCGTAACAGCAGCAACAACTTTACCGACAACAACAACAAGATTAGCAAAACGTAATAATTGCAAAGCAGTTTGCCGCAGGTGTGCCACCCGCCTTTGTCCAGGACCCGTAGCCGTACTTAACCGGCTGCCTCACAGAGATGAGCACGCCCGATAAAGCAGCAACAACAAGGTAAAGCTTCTTTTTTCTCTGCTGTAGCAACATCGGATGCTGGCAACGTCGCGTATTAAATGCATTTGATCCTTGATGCTGTTGAAAATGAACTGAGCTCGAACATGCAATCTAGTGGCCCCCGCACGCCCCACCTGTGTGCCCTGGCCATCAATATGGCCAATTTCATGAATGAAAACTTGGCACAGACCGTCTGAGCCTTTTGCATGTAGCAACAACACGCACACCCACACAAACCATTGAAGTGTGTAAAGAGCGTGCTGTTGCTGCTGCATGTTGCTGTTGCTGTTGCTGTTGCTGTTGCTGTTGCTATTGCTGTTGCATGTTGCTATTGCTGTTGCTTTTCTGGCAACATTGAGTCTTGGAGACGCTTGTTGCAGCTGTGGCGCATTAACCTCGTTCACTCTGCTGCTGCCTCACAAGCAAAATATTTACCAAAGTGATTAAGATGCCTGAGTAATTTTTAACACAATTACGCTGCCAAGCAGACGACGGCACTCAGTAGTCAGCAGTCGGCAGTCAGCAGTGCGCACTCCCGGGTCTGCAATTGTGAGCTGCTGCCTGCTGCTGCTGCTGTTGCTGCTGCTGCTGCTGCTGCCTACCCCGTTGAATAGCTACTGTAGTTACACTGGCTCGGCGTCAGTTGCAGCTGCATTGCTGCTAATGACCAGGCCGAGCGAACGACGCAGTCACTTGCAATATAAACTGTGGCATTGTCTGACCAGCCAACTCCAACTCCAACTCCAGCTCCATCCCCAGCTCAGCTGCGGACCCCCGAACTTTTGTATACCTTGGCCATTAGCGTTTCCACACTACGCTGACTTTAATCGTAGCGCAGCGTAGACTGCCGCCAGGTGGAAGGAAGAGGCAGGAGGTAGGCAGCAGGAGGCGGCAAGCAGCAAGCAGCAGGCAGCAGGCAGCGGGAAGCGGGCGGCAGGTTGAGGGTGTTTTACGCATCAGTGTTTTTTGACAGCTTCTTCTCGCCCGGCGCAGCATAATAAAAAAGTTAACGTTTTGTTGTGATTTATTGTATATGCGATTTTTGGCAGGTGTTGAGCAGCGCCATCAGCGCTCATCAAAGGTTGTGCTTGCTTGTGGCAAGCCTGCAAAAGCGATTGCAACGTGTGGCACATTCAATGCTCAGTGGCTACCCAGTCTAGGCGCAACGCACGACAAGGCAACAAGGCAACAAAATCGTATAACGCACCATCAGCATTGGCGACCGAAGGTGCCGGAGCAAAAGCAAAAGTCGTGATGCGTTTGGTTTAGATTCGAGCGGCACGATTTTTGCCGGCGTTAGCCACATTAACAATGTTGCCACAAACAACGACATTGCCGTTGCCGTTGCCGTTGCCGTTGCCATTGCTGCTGCTGTTGCTGTTGCTGTTGCTTTTGTTGTTGCCAGCTCTCAATGCGAGCTGTTGACAAAGAGCAAAGTTCGCGATCTGCGAATTTGTTGGCCATTTGCTAATAATATACATACACTAGCATCGGGTGCAACTACTTTGTCCTTAAGCTTGACTTTTGAGAGCTGACTAAAGCTTAAGTGGAGCTCCAAATATGAGTCCAGAGTAGCAGGAAAATTAAATAATACTCTGTGTCAATACCTTCCATGCAGATGAAATATGCTTCTGTAAGTGTATAAATTAAAATAGTCGATGTCAACATTGATCACCAATTTTTCTAAAGCAGGATATACAGGAATATAAAATATATGATTTTCAATGAAACTAAGCGAATATGATTAAAGTTAGCTAAATAGTGATTGCCGAAACTCGACCGGGCTTAGCAAACATTTTCACCTATTCTATTATGCACTTCAAATTCTGTCAGTTGAAATATCTCATTTAGGGAATTTAGGCATCTGCTTGCCTGTTGCTACGACCGAATCGACGCTGTCTTGGGCTAATCCGAATTTCCTTTCCCATTGTAGTGGACCAATGAAAATGAAAATGAGCGCGGCACGCGCTTAGCCGCCGCACGACTAGAAAATTGCGGTGGTGAAGAGCTCCGCGCTTGGCTGAGCTCGCTCTCTTGGTAGGGGAATGACAAAGGCAAGGGGAATGGAAATGGGAACGGAAAGGGGAAGGGAATAGGAGTGTGAGTGCGAGTGTTGCAGCCACGTGTTGCGCATGCGCTTTTGGCCCCTAGACATGCAGTTGGACACGACGCGACGCCCTGAGCCTGAGCCTGAGCCTGAGCCAGAGCTAGAGCCAGAGCCTGAACCACAGCATTTGCGTTTGTCAGGGTCGACTGCATCGCGCGCTCGCTTCGTGCTCGGCACTTTGCAATTGTTCAGAAGCTCGTTCAGCTTTTTGCCGTTGCACGAAGCGACGCTGTGGCGTGAGGCAGAAGTAGCAGCAGCAGCAACACCTTCACTCTCTGCGGTTGAGGCGATAGTGCGATGATGTATGGCCTGAACTTGTGCTGTTTATGCCTCTACTTCTGGAACAGGCACTGCCACAGCCACAGCCACAGCCCCAGCTATAGTCGCAGCCCCTGCTCAGCCACTGCCACTGCCCCGAGCTCGACTGCTGCCTACTATTGTAGGCGTCAACTCACGTTTATGCTTTGTAGACATTATCGCGCCTGTTTATCTTTAAATTGCAAGTAAATTACGTTGGCTCGCGCAGCTTGATGTATTATGCTGGCTTGTTGAGTGGCCAGTGAGTGATTTGATGAGCTGAGCAATGGCCGTGGTGGGAATATGCCACATGGCCGGGCTGCTCCAAGGGGCAACGAGATCAATCGATGTGGATCGAGGGAAAGAGAGAGAGACAGTTGTGCACACAAAGATCTTTAAAAACAACCCGTTTATTCGAGCACTACAAACTAAACGTTGTGCGTAATAAATTAGCTATGAAAGCGTCGTCATGCAGTTGGATAAGTGTTATGTGTTATGTGTGTGGGATGCGGTGCGGTGGTGTGGTGTGGTGGGGAAATCTCTCAGTAATGCGTCTCCGTGATCCTGACCTTGCCGTATTTACCGTGCAAATGGTGCTTGGCAAAGGCCAGCAGGTTGGCGTGGCTGTGGACATCCAGGTGGGCGGGGTAGATGGTCTTGTGCACCACAGCGGCGTGGCTGTGGTGGTGCACGAGCGGAGCCGAGTGGTGGTGGTGCACCTGCGGAGCTGAGTGGTGGGCATAGTGGTGCAGATCGGCGTGGGCATGGGCGTGCGTATCGATGTGAGCGTTGTTGTGGATGATGTGATGGTCGACCACGGGGTTCCTGTAGTGCAGGAAGTGGTGTGGCTCGTCGTGCACCACCTTGTGCACGTGATGCACTGGCCCCACTTCATGGATGGGCTCGTGGCTGACAATCTTGGCCGGAGCATGCACATGCTCCAAATGGCCGTGGTGCACCTCGTGATCCAAGTGCGCAGAGTAGCCGTCGTGGTGGTAGACGGGGTGAGGCACAGCGTCCACGTGGTGGTCGTTACCGTCGATCACTATGGCGGAGCTGTGGCCCAAATGAATGCCATCGGAATGATGAATGTCGCCGTCCACGTAGGGTGGCAGCTCCTCGTGGTGCACATCGTGCTCCAAATGGGGCAGCAGGCCAGCCTGAGCCACGCCCAGCAAAGCCAAAGTGCAGATGAAGAACTAGAGAAACGTCAACAATTAGATTAAATTCGGGAACCTCAATCTCCCGCCCCACACACACCTTCATTGTGGAGATTTCACGCTTAATTCGGGTTATCCAAAAGTTAAGATTGACGGTGCGCCTGAGACACTTTTGCTGCTCTGCTGTTGTCGTTCAACTGTGCTCCAATCCGCTGCAACCCACCCGTTTTATAGCACTGGAAGGCAGCTGCAATCGTTGGCCAATAGCACGTGCAGGCCGGCGGCTCGAACAGCTGGCATGGTCGGTCGTCCCAGCCATTGAACGTTATCAAAATGGCCAAGCAATGAAAGTAATGCCATGCGCGATGTGTGCCGGGGCAGCCAAGTGGCCGGCGTGCCTGGAATGGCCAATGAGCTTTGTCGTCACACTTCCAGCAGTCCCGCTCATTATGTAAAGAGCGCGCCGTGGTCAATAAACCATTTCCAGCCCGCCAGCTCGTCGACGCGCCGGTCATGTCATAATTTGATGGCTCAATAGGCCTACCTCACCTTGCCAGGGGTTGCACCATTCTGGGCAGGTGTGGGCAAGGCCATCGGTAGCCTCACTTCCACTTGCGCTCGCACTGCATTTTGCAACCAATTTGGCAATCTGCTGCCAGTGAAAGCGTTAGCTGCAGCTGACCAACATATCATGTAGCATTTTTATAATGGCCAAAAATAATCCATTCACACAATTTGCATTGGGCATACACAATTCATAGCGCCTACGTGCGGAATTTGTCGGCGGCACACGATATTCGCGGCTTGCCAATATCTCCGTGTTTATATTGGCACGATGGTGCTAAAAACTAATGCTAGCAACTTGTGGGTGTTATCAATCGTGACTTCCCCGATATTCGCGCCCGGCCAGCTGTGAATTGCCGTTTGTCAATAGGGAAACAAAACTCAGTTCGGATATCAAATAAAGCGTTACGGCTGCACCGCACCGAATAGTAAATACGCTCGAAATCGGGGCGTAATTCTACACTAACATGACAACAGCTCAAAATAATTTATTGCTATTTATTGTTTATTTATTAGAAATCGGAACTAATCTTAAAAAAATTTTGAACTGATCATTTCTTGCAATATACACTTGTATGTCAATACAACTGCAATATCAACGGATAGATCAGCCAGGTCAATCTGTTAACGAGCGTCTTTCAATAAATGTATATAATATGATTAGCTTTATTGCGGTTCAAGCTTTTGACATAATTAAACTAACTTTATAAATCATAGTAGTGAAGATAGATAATAAAGTATGTATTCTATAATCATTTAACAAATAAATGTATAAATATTTTACCCAGTTTATAAATTTATTATATTATACGGGAATACAAATAGGCCAATGCAAATTAGTAAAGATGATATAAATAATGTTTTGTAAAAATATTGAAGTAAGGGATGACAGCATTTATTTCTTAACAGCTTAGAAGCCATATCTACTTTAAGCATATATATTATTACGGTAATTTTATGCAATTGTCTATTCTGATGAAGGATTTTTATTCACTTTTGATAATACACTTTCCCTCTTATCAATTATTTATTCTTTTTCCAAACTCCATCGCATATCATAACAGCAACAGTTAGCCATTAAGACTGTATTATTATTTATATTATTTCAAAGATGAATTCAATATAATTTGATTACTTCATGGGTAATTGTGCACCTTACCATATGACTGTTAATTAAAATTGGCCGAACGGACAAAAAAATAAAAATAATATACGATTATTGAGTTAGTATTATTATTGATATTATTGACAATACAGCGATTGTAATAATTATCTGAAGACATTAAAATTCGCATAATTTTAAAAAATGCTGTATACATATCTAAGCATGTGTTCATTCGTCATGGCGATTGCATTTCCTGTCTAGACGGCAGACACGTTCCATAGATTATGAAAAACTTAAGGCGGTTAGCTGGCGGAGCCGCAGAGTCAAAGCCAGGCCAAGATAAGTCGAATCCAAAGTGGGTCAGCCTGTGGCTAATTACATAATAATTTGGTCAATTTGATCACGTTGCTAATGAGCAGCGTTGTATGCAAGGTGGTGAGTCCATGGAGGCGGCGAGCAACGGGGCGAGGGAGCCCAACTATCGCAACTATCGTTTTGGGCGGCGGCGTCAACACCCCGAAAACTACATAGAGCCGTACGTGCGGCACATGTGCAATGGGGCCCAAAGTGGAACTTGAAAAGCGGCGATCGACTTAAAATGCCCGCCAGGTGCCCACGCGACGCGCTTGTCGTCGACCTGTCCACAGATTTGAGTGCGAATTTGTTTTGGTTTCGATAGAAGCGCAAACGCAATTTGTACGCCTGACAACTACTTTAACATTTCCAATGAATTTTGCGTACGAATTTGACAATTCTTGGCGCTGTTTTTAATACTCGCGCTCTTTTGGTCTTTTGGAATTGGCAGTTCCTGTCTGTCGGTCTGTCGGTCTGTCGGTCTGCCTGTCTGTGTGTTGATCTGTTTGCCAGCCGCTCCGTGTGCTTTACACCTGCCCCAACAGCCAATTAGCCGCAAAAGTATCTCCGTCGCATGCAGCGGGCAGCGATCGTAGTTTGCAGCTCGCAGCTCACATCTCAAGGGGCGGGCAGTGCAGCATTTGCAATTAGACGGGGCAGCTACAACGTTGACGGCAACTTATTTCAATATGCAAATTATTGTTAGACTAGCATAGGAAAAAAATCTACATAAAGCAGCGCCGACGAGCAGCAGCAGCAGCAGCAGCAGAGGGAGACAGCCACACAGACAAAAAGCTGTATGGGAAAAGAGAGAGAAAGAAAAAATGAAAATGAAAATGAAAATAATAAAAAAATCTATAATTTATTTGCACAAAAATGACGGCAAAGTAGTTGGTGGAGCGGGTGCGGTGCGGGTGTGGGTGCGGGTGCTGGTGGTGGTGGTGGTGGTGGTGCCTGCTTGTAATTGAGTGCATCGTTTGCGGGGCAGTATTAGCGGGGCAGTGGGTAGGAGGTGAGAGTGAGCTGTATTAGCGAGGCTGCCAACAACTAATTTAATGCCAGCGGCAACAGCAACAGCAGCAAGCAGCAGCAACAACAGAGACGGCAACATGTCAACAGCAACGCCTGCCGCTTGCCGCCTGCGGAGTGCAACGAGGATGATCGCATTGATGGGGGCGCTTGACAGGCGGGGAGGGCGGGGCGGCATGACGTTGTGCATATTTTATGCCTGCGGCTCTCCGGCTGCGGTGTCCATTGTGGGCAGCACATGGGGCTGAAATAATTTTGCATCACATATTTTGTCGACCACAAATCAACGGCATGAGATATTTGATGGTAATTAATATTGTAAGTAAAACGTATTATGCTTTTAAATAAATGGCTCTGCTGCACTTAATAGCTCCTGGCTATAGAGTCATACATGCTAGAGGCAAATGGCGAAATGGCATGGAAAGGCGGCCAATGAGTATGTTTTCAGGAATTTAATATTTGAGATCTCAAGATTTATTTTTACAGCCTGAGCCCATGGACATTAGGAATTATGTGTAAAATCCTTTCATATTAAAATCTACAATTATCTAAAAGGGAAAGCTGGCTTGGTCGCATCATTTATAACTGAGAATTTAGTTAAAAATAAGAATTGAGTCGACAAACTCTGTCCAGATTGTCACACTTAAATTCTGTCATTAGATGAAAAATCTCTAAAATTGTACAATAATTTTATATTGTGTATACTAGTTCAAATATTCAATACATAATTCCATATATGTATATTTCATATATTCAATATGTAATTTACATACTCAATTAAAGAAAACCGCCAAACTTATTGCAGAAACGAGTTTCCAAACCCAGGGGAATTCTTTCTGTTATAATATGATATAAATGAGTGTATACTATATATTATATTAATATTATAAATAATAATAATAAGCTGTGGTACAAATGCGGAATTATGGACAGACAGATAGCAGTCTACTCGTAGTGCTTTATTGGGTTTTCAGCGCTTCTTCTACATTGAATGAATTATACCCCAATTTCACATTTGCAACGGGTTGAGGGTAAATACATAAATTTATATATGAGTTATTTAGCAATTCATATACACGATTCATATACACTAAAAAATGCTGTTATTAGTCTATTAATGAACGTTAAGGACTTATAGAATGAGTTCCATTTTTCAATAAACCATGCAGAGTAGTAGATTTCCATCATATAGACATGCCGTATCAGTGCGATATTTTGCTGTTGGAGTTGCCCCGACAGGTATACATACTATATGAACATAAAAAATGATTTCTTCCAGACGACCGACTCATGAGTTCCACTAACGCTTGTACTATGTTAATTGAAAATAATGATGTTATATTATTACCAAAGGTAATTTATATTCGTTTTACCGATTGTCACAACAAATCATATCAAAAGTCTGGCTATGTGTTTTATTTTTGGATAGCACTTAATCAAATAACACGCTGAATCGCACAATTTTTGAGCAACTCACGCAACGTCATTGGCTTGCAATCACAATATTAATTTCCCAATCATTATACTGTCTGTGAACTGGTCGACCCATTGGCCCCTGGAAACCAAACGATCTGGGGATGTTATCAACGGTAGCTTCAGCTGCTCGGGGCACAGGTGTTTTTGGCCACTGTTCCAATTTGCAGTTCAGATTGCTTTCGATTTCTCATCACACGATTTTTAATCATTAGGCTCCGCGTGCAGGAGTTCGGGAGTTCGGATCGGGGCTCGTACAGGATGGTCAGAGAATCGCATATGCGATTGGGGGCTCTTCCCCCAACGGAAAACAAATTGCTCAGCAGTAGCAGTAGATCCAGTCTGGTCTCTTATTGCATTTTCGCCAGGTAATGAAGTTCAGCAAAAAGTTAATCGGAAAAGCAAGGCCCCGCAACTAAATAGACAAATGATACGGAACGGAAGCTGCCAAGCAGTTGGCCAATTGTGCGGTGGGTTTTGCTTGCACATTAGCGGCAATAAATTGTCTTAATGCACACACACACACACACACACTACATACACAAATTCGCAGACACACTCAGCACATGCATATGCACACATTGAGTGCAGTCTGATCGGGGCCAGGCAGACACCTTGAACGGCGGCAAAGATCAGACCCAGAGGCCGCATCGACTCGTCGTGTGATTTTGCAAACTCTGGCAGCCGAGTCGAGTCCAGGTTTGGCATTCAGATCTTCATATACGATCATGCATATGGCAAGGCGCGTGTTGTGTATCTGCGTCTGTGTACCCTCCACAAGAGTATCTGAATCTGTAGCTGTGGGCCTGGTGTTGCATAAGCCGCTGCTGCCGCTGCCGGTGCTGCTGCTGCATGACCAATCGCTGTAAGATTGTGAAAATTGTAACGCTCGATTGAGAGCTCAAAGTTGCAGTTCAGTTGTTGTTGCTTGCGCCGTTGCTGCTGCTGTTGTTAATAATATTGCACAAAGGCAGCTTTGCGAAAGTTCGTCAGCAGAAACAGCAGCAGCAGCAGCAGCAGCAGCAGCAGCAGCAGCAGCAGAACAATGGCTCAAACTCAATTCACGTGCTGCTGCTGCTGTTGTTGTTGTTGTTGAATGTTCTTGTGGCCATTGTTAGCTGATTTCATCTGAAATAGAAAGCATGCAATTTTCATGCCACGCTGCGGCGTCGATAGCGGCAGCAATTGATCTGCCGATCAGCGGATCGATTGAAGGAGTTATTACACACGAACAAAGCAACTGCAGCAGCAGCAGCAGGGGCAGGGGTAGCATCATCTTGAGGAGGAGAATCATTGACCATTGGTCCATGGCAGCTATTGCTCTATTAGTGTTTGGGCAACGGATCGTATGATGTGGCATAATGATTTTGCGGAATTTCAAATGGACCATAGGACAGGTGCTAATTTCATAGA